GTGAGGAAGCTATACTGCCTTTACTTGGCAGACGTTTTTGTTTTCTTATTGTAATTAATTTTCCTGCAGCTGCATTTCTCATTTTTTTATATAACGTTACTTTTGTTCTGTATAATTGTTAAATTTTAGTACTGAAAATATATTATTTTTTCCCAAAAATAAAAGATGTATATTTATATTGTTAATGGGGTATTCATTGAGTGAAACTACCGGAACCCTTAAAAAAATAATCCGGTTTTTAAAATATTGTTTGGTCGAGCAAAATCATATACCTAACCCAAAGAAGTGGATAAAATTAGGGAAAATCTATATTGGAGCATTCAGGCATCAACCTTCACAATCCTTGAAAATTTTATTAGCACGAAATAACGGCAGAACTTGAAATATCCAGGGCAGGGTGGCCTAATGGCCCAAAGTGTGTGCACAGCACCGCGAGTTGCCCGGCAACCAGATATATGAAGTTTTGAGGGAAAAGAAAAGTACGAGTTCACGTCTCGGTGGCATAGGGAATTTTAAATTCCCCGCCCTCAACCTCCGGCCCGGGAAAATCCCGTATAGCCTAAACGGCGAGGTAGGGAAGAACAAAAAAGAAAAACACAAGAACTTGATATATCCGTCACATGATTTCATCAACAGAATACAGTTTAAATAAAATTTTCTGGCGACAACAATAAAGATATGTCTAAAAAAATATTGTTATACACGAGGAAGCGAAAGTAGAAGGTGCAATTTGATGGAATTGATATCGGCCAATTAAGTAGCAGCCCGGACAGCCTCTAAAAAATGGATAAAACTCGGTTTAAGCGAGCAGGCGGTCTGTCGCTCAAATTGATTTGACTACAGGGAGCAACTTGTCTAAAACGTAAAACGCGAGTGGATATTTTCAATTTTGATTGAAAAGCCTTTCACATGAATACATACCTGCTCTACCTTCGGTAATGAAGGAGCAGTTATACAAACAGAACAATTAAAACTGCAAAGTATTTTAATGATTTTAGTTACATAAATTGAACAATTTCAATACAATAAAAGAAAAAAAATTTGGTTATATATATATTTTTTTCTTTTATTGTATTGAAATTGTTCAATTTATGTAATATATTATATATTTTATGTAATGTTATATATATATATATATATATATATATATATATATATATATATATATAGAGAGAGAGAGAGAGAGAGAGAGAGATAGAAAAATAACTTTATTCTGGGACACAGTCCCTTGAGAATAACAAAATAGAACAAAATTAAAATTTTACATCTGGCCAAAATAAAATCAATCGAAAAAAAGAAATAATGTAAAAAAAATATAAGGTAAAAATTCTATATACAAAACAAACTATACTATATACAAAACCATTAATATGTTTTGTAATATATTATATATATATAATTTTATGTAATGCTATATATATATATATATATATATATATATATATATATATATATATATATATATATATATATATATATATATATATATATATATATATTATAATAATAATAATAAAAGGCTTAGCGAACCCGAAGGTTCGATGCCGACACCACCAATCGCTTATTACACACCTCCCTCCACCGTTCGCCGTCCAAACCCAGTCCCTTCAGATCGGCTTTAATGCAATCTTCCCACCTTCGCTTCGGTCTACCCCTCGGACGCTTACCATTCGGCACAGCAAATATTAACCTTTTAGGAATTCTCTCGTTACTAATCCCAACAACATTACAAGCCCATTTGATTCGCCGCGATGAAATTATCTCAATTATATTACCCGGATACAGTTCACGCAATTCGGTGTTGTGTAACCGTCTGAACTCTCCGGTTAACTCATCCTTCTTCGGTCCGAATATTCTACGCAATACTTTATTTTCAAAAACCTTAAGACGCTGCTCATCCCTTAATGTAAGCGGCCAAGTTTCGAATCCATAAAGAACTGTAGGCAAGATAATTGTTTTATAGATTCTAATTTTTAAGTTCCGGGACAAGAGGCGCGAACTGAGTAGTTTTGTCACAGAAAAATAACAAGCATTTCCCGACTTCAGTCTAACCTTAATCTCCTAGAATCTAGATACCTAAATTTATCTACCTGTTCAAACATATTACCGTCTATATCGATATCACCAGTAGTATCGCCATTTTTGCAGCCAACCATATATTTTGTTTTATCCATGTTTATTTCGAGTCCTAGTTTTTACCGGCTTTCATTAACGTTGTCGTATTTAGTTTTATAGTTTCAACGTCTTCGCTTAACAGTACCAGATCATCAGCATAGCCCAGCACGGATGTTGTCCTACCCAGATCCAACCCTTTCTCGGTACGCATTACCTCCCTAATGGCATGTTACAATGCCAAATTTAACAGGACAGGCGAAAGGGAATCCCCCTGTTTTAAACCTGAACGAACCTCAAATTTTTCCGACAGATTATTACCGATTCTAACTTTATTGAGTGTCTCCGTCAAGCACATCCTCACTAGATTTACTAGTTTTTTTGGAATCCCCTGCTCGATTAGAATATTATACAGTTTCTGGCGGTCAATAGAATCGTAAGCCTTTTTAAAATTTATATACAGCTGATGAACAATACCGTTGTATTCCAATTTTTTCTCTAATATTTGCCGTAAAGAAAATATTTGATCAATAGTTGAACGATTCCGTCTAAATCCGCACTGGTAGTCTCCGATAATTTCCTCGGCGAATTCCGTGATTCGACTGGTTAAGATTAAAGTGAATATTTTATAACATACCGGAAGGAGTGAAATTCCGCGATAGTTATTACAATCCGTCCTCGGGCCCTTTTTGTGAATCGGAATAAGAATAGATTCTTTCCATTCCTCAGGTAATTTCTAGTTCACCCAGATCTTTTTAACCAACTGATGTATTTTAGAAACTCCAGCTTCCCCGCATTCCTTAATTAGTTCAGTAGGAATATTATCTGTTCCCGCTGCGTTATAAGATTTTAATTTTCCGATAGCTACTTCAACTTCCTCTTTACTTGGTCCTTCTATTAACGGTTCAGCACTCTGGTACTCAGAAGGAGGACAAAGATCATAATTTACCGTATTTAAAATATTGTCAAAGTGGTCCTTAAACTTATTCAATATGTCAACCGGATCGGTCAGAATATTGTTATTATCATCCCTAATTCCAGACGTTATGGGCCCTATATATTTACGTGATCTGTTTATGCCTTTGTACATGTCTCTTACGTCATTTTTTATTCTATTAGTTTCTATTTCAATTATTTTATTTTTAAGATACTCCCTTTTTTTATTTTTGAGCAATTTTGTCGTTTCGTTCTTTGAGGTTCGGAAGTATTTCCGATATTTGAATATGAAGTATTTGTCTTCGCTAGGATTATTTAGAGCTTTTAATTTAGCGGCTTTTCTGTTTTCGCACATGTTTAAGCAATCTTCATCAAACCACGGTTTGTTATTCTTATTTTCATTTTTTCCTAGACACGAGTTACCGGCCGCTTTAAGATTATCCCTGATCTCTACCCATAACTTGTCAATATCCTCATGGTCCTCGTCAGGAAGCTCTAAAGCTTCAAACCTATTTTTAACATCTAGCTCGAATTGGGTTCTAATGGATGGATTTTTTAATTTTTCCAAATTAAAATTCTCAAAATCGAAACTGTTTTCTTTTATCTTTTTTATATTAAGTTTTTGTCGAAGTTTCGCGATTACCAATTCATGATCCGACCCACATTCTGCTCCGCGATAAGACCGTACATTAATTATACTGCTTTGCCAGCTATGTTGTATCAAGACATGATCGATTTGATTTCGTGTTTGCGAATCCGGTGATGTCCAAGTATATTTATGAATATCCTTATGTTTAAACGTCGTACTTTTAATTATCAGGTTTTTCGAGATGGCAAAGTTTATCAGACGGATCCCATTATCATTACTATATTCGTGCAAACTTTCTTTACCAATCGTCGGAATATAAACTTCTTCCGTTCCTACCTTTGCGTTCGCGTCACCTACAATTATTTTCATGTAGTTTCGCGGTAGTTTATCATAAACACATTCGAGTTTATCGTAAAATTCACTTTTGACTTCATCGTCACTGTCTTCGGTCGGACAATGTATGTTTATTAATGCGATCTTAAACCAACGTCCCTGAAATATAGCTACCGAAATTCTATCACTAAAGAATTGTACGTCCCTCAAAGTGGATAGTAATCTATCTCCTAATTAGAAACCCGGTACCTAAACAATGATTCCCCCTTCCTCCGTACCAAATAGTGTACTTCCCCCCTTCCCTCATCGAGCCCTCCCCTGGCCAGCGAACCTCTTGCAGAGCAACGACATCCAAATTGTACCCATTTACCTCATTCGCGACCGATTTTAGTCCCCCTGCAATGTTTAATCTCCTTACGTTCCACGTACCAATATTTAAATCCTTATATTTCAACTTGCGCCATGAATCCCCTAAAGCAGTCCCCACCCGGAGACCCGAACGGGGGACTAGTTTACCTCCGGATAGTGAGCGTTTTACCTTAGGGAGATCCATGACTATTTGTGGTGTTTGGTGAACTAAAAATATGTGAGTAGGGCGTTCAATCCTACGTCACACCCTCCAGCAAGTCTGGAGGTCCCCTCCCTCCAGCAAGTCTGGAGGGCCCCTCTCATTTTTGGTCAGCGAGTCCATCGGACTTAGCCGGGAGGAACTTCCAAGGAATTTCCATCGACCATCCCCACGTCCGCCACCCGTGGGACGCTCCCCATACGCGGTAATGAGCCCGCGCGAGGATATATGTATATATATATATATATATACACACACACTAAACCCTATAAATCATTCTCAATAACAATTGTATCGATAATCATAGAACGTAATGGACTGATAATGTCATTTTGTTCAAAGAACAAACTGACATCCTTTCAACTATTAAACTTATTATTAAGAAATGTGACCATAGATATTCGAAAAGTGATTTAATTGCACATATATACCTTTCATAAAATAAAGATGTTTAGTTGATATATGAGGAAGAAAACAGAGGTATATTAATTAACTTATAGGATTAACATATTAACTAAGCAAACACTGCGACGATAATAATAGATAACAATCATCATTTACTGATTCTTTTTTTTTTTTTTTTTTTTGTCTATAAAATATATATTTGCGCCTGTCAACAATAAGTTGACAATCAGCAAATGTGATGACGATAATGATATAGTGACATGAAAGGCATGGGGAAGGAAAGTACTCAGCAGTACCTCTTCCCTAACTTTTTCCAATTACTTAGGTTGTCTAAGGAAGGAGATCCCTCATCCAACGCCTTTTTAGTCTCCTGCTCATGTTCTGAGGTATGTCAGCTGTGGCCATGTCTCCACAGAAGGATGGACAAAGAGCCTGCAGTCAGCTGATTAGCGGCCATTTTGTGGATACATGGCTTGAGTCACCTGTGCAAGCTGTTGGAGGATACTAAACAGGGGCTGTATGAGGGAGTTTAAACCATTGAGTAATTGGAGCAATTGAGGTGGGGCATTATTTTCAGCTGAAGATGGCTGCTGAGTAGTTTCCCGCCACATACCTGAACATGATGGTTTGATGTGAGCAGATGTAGTAGCATTTTTTCTTCTTGTCATCTGGTTTCTTGATGGTTCCTGCAGCTGAGCTGGCGTAGCTTTCTGCGAAGCATTTTTTTGTATTGGCTGCTCTTTTCGCAAAGGCTGCTGAAGAGTCGGAAATTCTTCAAAACTTGGTGGTGGAGGGAGAGGTGGGGATCTAGGAGGATGGTTGGTTCTTGCTGTTCTCCTATGCGCCCTCAGATCCTTCAGGACTTGGCATCCTCGGTAGTTGGCCGGGTGGTCTCCAAGGCAGTTTGCGCAGGTTGCCTTTGTCTCCCTGGTCTTTTAGCAGGATACACTTTCGTGGCCTTGGCCACATTTAACACATCGTGGAGAATGGTTGCAATATGATTTTGTATGACCATATTGTTGGCATCTTATACACTGAGGTATAATTCTTTTTTTTTCGAGGCTCCTCTATAACAATTTTTGTATAATAAATTGATTCAATTTCATAAATTTTTTCATTCTTTTATATCTGATTCTAAATACGGGAATCGGCATCCAGAACTAAAGCTCGGAAGTTTCTACAAGATTTTAAAAATGTAGAGCAATGGATTAATTATAACTCGTTCTTTTGATAATGCCCCTTTGGTAAGACAATGGAAAATCTGGTGCGGTGCGCACATAACACAGCTATCATTTACTATCTCACTGTGAATAGAAATAGGTATTTTCATAAATAGAGAAGCGAAAATAAAAATTATAGATATTACAACATATTATTTATAACAATTAACTGCCGTTCCTCTAAGAGGCAAAACCAGCAAAAATAACTAAATTAAAACAAAATATATGTATTTATACAATTTCATTGTTTTCGAACAAATAAATACCTGGAATACAGTTAATAAACGTTCATTCATGTATTCCTGAACACCGGTAATCCGAACATCCATCTTCATCAATTAGTTCGTTTTAGTGATTACTTAATGTGATTATTTTGAGCCATTTATTTAATTGTAATGTATTTATACCTATCATCTATTGCTTCAATAATATTATAAAATATATATATATATATTTTTTTTACCTAACTTAGTTGAATTATAAAGTAGATGTGACGGTGTGTTGCAGGTTTCGGGGTTGCGTTTCGAAACGCAGCTGCGGACGCTGAACCAGTTCCCTGACACCCTCCTGGGAGACCCGTCGAGGAGGATACGGTACTTCGATCCCCTGCGGAACGAGTACTTCTTCGACCGGAACCGACCGTCCTTCGACGCTATCCTCTACTACTACCAGAGTGGAGGGAGGCTGCGGCGGCCGGTCAACGTCCCCCTCGACGTCTTCTCGGAGGAGATCAAGTTCTACGAGTTGGGCGAACTGGCTACCAACAAGTTTAGGTAAACCTCTTATATAATACCACGAGTACAATGGCGGTTTTCAGAAACAATCAAATAGATTCTCATCCATATTTCCAAAAAAAATAGGATATATAGTGTTTCAAATGCAATAATTTAATTAAAATTATTTTAAAATATGTAATTTGGGAAATAGCATTTATTTTGCTTTGAAGTTTAAGAGCATTCAGTGACGGAATCGTAACGGTTAGAATGACAATGCGAAACTGTAGGTCAGAATGATAAATTATTCCTTAAAGTAGTGATTAGCGCTGAACCAATAGCTAAACATAGCTGGGAGAATTGTGTTGTACCTAATCCACTTCGATTAGGCATTTGAAGAATAGTAACACCACTCACAGACTGAATTAAAATGACTGATTTAGGCGGACAAAAGTCAATCTCACAATTGTTATCCATTATATGCTCGTTGTTTACTACAATAGTTGAACAGCCCAAAAACAATATTACAATTTTCGGAAAGTAATTTATAAACATTTTGTATTTATGATTGAATATGTTACACGTTATTAGCGCACTGAATTCTTTCATCAATATGGGCAAAGGTTTTTTGAATCTAGATAATACATTTGCGATATTTGTTGCAATATATCCATGTTTTTCCAAATCATTTTTTATTTCGGAGAGTGGGGAGGTGTGGTGCAAATTTTTAATCACAATTGTTATATTTTTGTCCTGAGGTAGCTGATATGTGTGGAATTCAGCACCTCCATTTCTAAGACTACTCACTAGTTTACGGTATACGTCTGTTTTTTTCGGGTGAACTGTTACACCTTTGATGTTGTTTTTAAAAAGAAGGAATTCGAGCTGCATTGTTTTCCAGGAATATGACTAATGCCTCATAATTTTGAACGTCGTGTATGTGTACTGGTGGTGATTTTTCATTAGTTTGTGCAATTGTATTATTTACTGTTGATTCTTCATTTTCTTTAATGGTAGTAAGTGCATCGTAAGAATTACTTACAGATATTGGCGTTGCATTTTCCGTTTCAGTTTCAGTGCAAAGATTTCTTTTTTTTCCCCGTTAACAAAGCCCAGGGCATCACCACAATTAACTTCAATTAACTCCATCATTTCCTCTCTTATCTCAACATTTGACGTTGAGGCGGGGTCCATTTTTTCTGTGGATATCACCTTTAACCCTTATGTTCACTCTCACACCGACTTCCTTCAACTTTGCAAGAGAAAATTTTACGTTTTTACTTGATAATTCAAATGAAAATCCAAATAACCTTTGTAATCAAAATTATTTGTGTTTATAGGTTTCAACACCATTTATCAAAAATTAAATTACAAATACGTGAGGACACCCATCTCTAAGAGATATAGCAAGTTTAGAAAAACTCTCTCCCTTACTTCTGCTCCTGTAGAAAGGTTAATCTCTAATAATGGCACTATGAAAAAGTTACATAAAGCAAATTAGCTGTCTGATAATTTATTTGAAAAAATAGTACTCTTTGAGACAAATATATCTTCACTTGAAAAACTTTCTTAGTTTATAATTGTTCAATTGTTTAAAGTGATTCTATTTTTGTTTTTCTACTCTAATGTATTATTGTTGATCATTTATTTTATTGAGATGTTCTCATAGAATGGATTGTTCCGAAAGAAGAAAGCTTATTTTCCTTTGTTTATGTCAAGTTAGAATTTGTTTTATTTTGATAAGTATAAATGTTTTTACGAAGCCTTCCAAAAGATATTGGATTGAACGAAAGAAAAACTTTTTTTTTAAGCATTATTCAGCCATGTGGAGGACTTTATTACTTAAAAATGTTCATAGAATTCTGCAATATCAGTTATTTTTTAAGAAGTTAGTATCAAGTAGTACTGCCTTTGGGCTAATTTTAAGTTGCCTAGATCGATACCAAGATCTTAGGAATTCTTTCTTGTACTTTTGAATATAAGTCAATTCTATGAAATAATTATTGCTTTCACAAGTAATTTTATTTTCAACTCCAAGGCGAGTTCTTAAAGAGATCCAGTGCCGCATTTCAGTGTTTCTTCCAGTTCTGTGAACATGGTACTTCAAGAAAAAATAAAACAAACAAACAAAAATTGGAATTTACTAAAATCGATAATTCATGCATTCGATGGATACGTAACCTACTGTTTATCAGAAGAATCATGTTATTCGAAAATAATTTAATAAAGAATATTGTTAAAAGCGTTTTTTATAATTATCAGAAGAATCATGTTCACCAAAATTATTTCACAAAAAAATTATTGTCACAAAGATTTTAATAGATATTTTAATTTACGTTATCTGAAAGTTTTTAACCCTTGAATCCTTATTCCTCTAGATATGGTCCAGGTTTAATGTTCGGATCACAAAGGGTTTCTATTTCTCCTACCCTAAAGTGGAAATAGTGTCGGATGTAATATTGGATGTAAAGAGCTGATCAATATTTTGGTTGGGAGACTGAGAGGCTGCGACGGGAGAGGCGAATCGCTTCCAGCGTGTGCGCATCCATTCACGCATGAGCTTCATTGAGGGTTGTCATGGCTACTCCCTCCTCCCTCGTCTCTTCCCAGGCAACTGTTAATAACTGAACCTCAGAAGGAAACCTCTAGACTGCTTCACTGGGTCACCAGTAGAACTCCCAACTCGGATAGCGGCATAAGAAAAAACTTACAACCATTTTATTACTTGAAAAAAAAAGATATTTAGCAATTTAAAAAAAAAAGAGATGGTAAGGATTTTATAATAATTGAATGTGAAGTACTAGGTTGTCTAACAAAGGTCAGTTGCGGACGCGAAATCATCAATTTTAATGAAACTTTTTTGGTGATACTAGGTTAAAATATATTAGATCCAGGACCTTACCAATACGGCCCAGGAGCCGAGATAAAAATATTTTATAAAATTTTATTATTTTTTTATACATATTTCTGTATACATGCTGTGAATGTGTTCACACCTCACTATACTTATTGTCCGTCTGACAGATTGTCATATTTCTGAATTAATAAAAAAAAAAATGAGAAGGAGTTCGTCGAGGGTGCGGTCAAATAAATAAAAAAAATTAAAATATATAAATTATTTTAATTTTTGCCGACGTTTCGACCCACTTTGCAGGTCGTCTTCAGGGCCTAATTTGTGGTACTGCGGGAGGCAGTTGAAACACTCAAAGGCAGTGTTTCAACTGCCTCCCGCAGTACCACAAATTAGGCCCTGAAGACGACCTGCAAAGTGGGTCGAAACGTCGGCAAAAATTAAAATAATTTATATATTTTAATTTTTTTTATTTATTTGACCGCACCCTCGACGAACTCCTTCTCATATTATATTAACGGTCAACCATCTCTACATCATAATGAAAAAAATGTTAATTATTAATTCTTCATTTAAAATTTCTAGAAAAGGAAGAGGCGTGCATTTTTTTTTTTTTTTTTTGAACTAATACGTTTTTCATCCAAGTCCACTAAAATTGGACAATGATTTTCGAATGACTTACGATGTGTGTGGATGGATGAACGATTTGTGCTCTGTCACATTTTTCACATTACCAATATTTGAGAAGAGTTTTTTCGGTTCTTCACAGTTGTTTATCAGGCAGTTATTATTCAACTAAATGTCATAATGATTCCTTTCAGTATAAAAAAAATAATCGTAATCGTGAAAACTCATGAAGAACTGAGTTTGATACTTCCTAATTACATAACTTTTTTTCTTATTATGAACGACTTCTTTTATTGTTGACTTCGATCTGTATGAAATTCCCAACTTATTATATATTATATATCAACCGATTTGTTGTTCTTTTTTTTTTTTTTTTTGTAAAATATGAAAAACATGAATCTCATTGTATTGAACGAATCGCTTATCAAAATCATAAATTATTAGGCCTTCATAATGAATAAAGAAAGAAAAAAACCAAAACGTTTTTATTTCTATTCTCCAAGCCTAATTTATTTGCGGGCTCCTGGTTTGTATATTTTTCAGCATATTATAGTGACCTAAATTCATGCTAATATCCGAATGGATAAGTCCATGTTAAAGGTAAAATCACAATTTTTATTTTTCGATTGCTATGAAAATCCATATTTAATATGGAATATACAAATCTCATCTTTCTTTTTCCTTAAAAATATTCGAATCCACTTTATTCCAAAAGTCAGTGCTAATTGCTTCAATATTATACTCATACTATGGCTGTATACCAAATACATATATATTTCTAAACCAGGCCAGTATCAAAAGGAAGATTACATGCACAAAATCTGATATTTTGTCGAGATTTGATCCTAAAATAAGAATAAATTAGAAATACATACAGAGCAAAGTCAGACACAGTAATATAGTTTAATTTTTTTTTCTCGATTACTAGGGAACATTGTCAAGAACCCTCGGATCTAATATTTTTCAAACTAGTATCACCAAAAAAGTTTCATTGAAATCAGTAATCCCGTGTCCAAAATCTCTTCCCTTGCATATGTTACGGTTAAACGATTAAATCTTAACCTATTTTGTGTTAGGTACTTCAGTTATTTTATTTAGTTTATATAAAGTAACTCTAAAGTGAGATAATGTGTTAGACATTGCAGAGATATTTGAAAACAAAACTTATCGAGTTATTTATCCACCTTAAAAAAATCACATTTTTTATCATTTACAATGGAAAACATAGATATAAGGCCATTTAAATTACAGGTATTATTTTTTTAAATTTCCTAATTCTATACCCTCACCAGTGGTAAATCGTTTGTCCAACAGGGTTGGACTCACTTGTTGATAGAATGTTTGCAAATATTGGCGTATTAGTAAAAGTAATAGCGTTTGCCCTCATGTTGGTCGTTCGTGCACGATTTTCTTTCCCATATCAACGGAATTTGCTATTCCCATTGCAGAATATTTAAGAATACAAGCCATCCATCTATAGGAGGAAGCAGTTGCACAACAGCTTCCTTATTTTAATCTAAATAATTTATTATAAAATTGTTCTTCATTTAAAATTGATATTTAAATTACCAATGATTCATAAATCGATTAACTGTAGTGGTAATGGTTTGTAATTCACTCATTCTTATGCGTTATAAATTTAATAGTTGTCACCGAATTAATCAAAATCAGCTCATTACAAATTAATAAATTTTTCGCGTTCAAGATTCGACCTTTAAATTTATTATGTGTTCTTAAAAATGTGTTGTGTTTTTTTTAATTGTAAACTGGCTTGAAAAATCCATAAACGTGTAATTTGTATTTATGTTTGTAATAATTACTACTGGAGTCCTGCCTTTTCTCGCTTGAGTGGATTTTCTTAAAACAAAATAAATTAATTACTTAACTGCTGATTCTGACGAAAAAAAAGAAGAATTTTTTAATTCAAAATTAAATAAAGTGCCATTTTAACCTATTTAATTTAATGATAAATAGTAAGAGAGATGGACCATGTAAACATAATTCCATTCATCGTTGAAATATACTGATCGAATTGGTCCATCATGTCCTATATTACCAATCATTCTAAATATCTTCATAGGTGAATCTTTGGAGGAAAGGGGGGAGGCTTTCAGGCTCAAGCCTTCCTCCCAAAAATGGTAAAATATAACCATGTTTTATGAAAAAAATATTTTAAAAATTATCTATAAAAGTATTATTGTTCGTCTTATTACATTTAATTGGACTTCAAGAATCACTTAAACGCCTTTCATGTAGATAGTTAGCCTCTTTCTTTTTCTTTTACTAAATTTTACTTTATTATGTATGAAAAATGCATCAAACTAAACAAAGATACTGATTGCAAGTTCAAAATATTATGATTTCACAGAGGGGAAAATTCATCAACGTTCATTATATTATAATTTTATCTTCCGGTTGAAAGTAGTTTTATTTAGCTGCTCTGAAGATATGATACACGAAACAGTAATATTTCAAAATTAGAATTTCAACTCGATAGATCTTCAATGGAATAGATATCCTTCTATTAACGGTATGTGTAATTAACTTATATATCGTCATTTTATTGGATTTGGTCATTAGGTAACGTTTTAGAAAATTTGATCAGCAAGTAATTTGATCTGAAATCAAAACATTACACTCTTATAAGGATACAGTCTGTGGGTCACCAATTTTAACCAAATTATTTTTTTGATACTACATCGAACATATTAGACAGATATCCCGGCGTTCTTTCGAATGGGTCCTGTTATTTCGAAGCCGAGAAATAAATTAGTTCATATAATTTTAACAAAAATAAAAGTATGTTTTTTATTTTTGCGTTTGCTTTATCCGGTTTTTCAGTTTACTATGTATCAATTTTCTTTTTTTTTAGGGAACAATAAGAAAAAAATATTAACTATAGTATTGCGTTATAATATATCATAAATTTAAAAAAAATAAAGGTGCTTCCAGTAAAGTAGGTCAAGTAAATATTTTTGATATAAAAAAGCAAATAACATTTTTTTTTTTTTTTTTTTTTTTTTTTATATAGAGAGTGCTACCACTGGGTAGTAACTCTTCAAGCCTGTACATGCCATTATTTATATTTGCGCTTATTTACTTGTTGTATTTGTATACAGTTGTAAATTCCATTAATTAAACAAACAAAAAAAAAAGATTTTTTTTTATAGTCCTTTATAACTCTTAAATATAAATTGCCACATAAATTTAAAAATACAACCTTAGTAATTGATTTTCTGGAATTGATTTTTTTCCGTTCGTCAACTAATGCATTCATAACTCCTCAGGATTTTTTCCTAATTCAACATTAATACAACCGTTGGAAAGCTGGATCAATGCTCTTATAACTGACACCGATAATTTCAAATTGTTTACCAAGGTCGGGTTTATACCATTTCGTGTAAATCGGGGGCCTAAATCTCTATAAATTTTTATATGTATCGGTGAAGCCATTCTAAAGTTATCACAAGTTTTGTGGTTGTTGAAAAAATTTCGTGTAGAAAAATTTAATTTTCCGATTGCCATAAAAATTTGTATTCAAGTTTTTCCAGGTGCGAAAAACGAATATCAACTTTGGTTGTTTCTCTCTAAAAACATATTTATTCTCATATTGTGTAGATATCTGCCAATTTTGTTCATGGCCGTCAATCAAAATGGATAGACTTTCGATTGAGATAAATTTTACCTTTTAACTCTGATTTTGTTCTCTATCTTTGGTATTTACTGACAAGATTGTTTCTGGAAACAAATGTTTAAAATCTATACTAATTGCCAGATGGAATCTGATCACTAACACAGTTTTCCTTTTTTTCTTTCAGGGAGGACGAAGGGTTCATAAAAGAAGAGGAGAAACCACTTCCATCGCACGAATTCCAAAGGAAAGTGTGGCTCCTGTTCGAGTACCCCGAATCGTCGCAAGCGGCCCGGGTCGTGGCGATCATCTCCGTCTTCGTCATCCTCCTCTCGATAGTGATCTTCTGCCTGGAAACCCTGCCCGAGTTCAAACACTACAAGGTCTTCAACACCACCACCAACGGCACCAAGATCGAGGAGGACGAAGTCCCCGATATCACGGACCCCTTCTTTCTCATAGAGACAATCTGTATAATATGGTTCACGTTCGAATTGTCAGTGCGGTTCCTCGCTTGTCCGAACAAACTGAACTTCTTCCGTGACGTCATGAACATTATAGATATCATCGCCATCATTCCCTATTTCATCACGCTGGCGACGGTCGTGGCAGAAGAGGAAGATACCTCCAACGTGCCTAAAGCCCCCGTCTCCCCGCAGGACAAAAGTACGAACCAAGCTATGAGTCTCGCCATACTCAGAGTGATTAGGTTAGTGAGAGTGTTTCGAATATTCAAGTTGTCCAGGCATTCGAAGGGGCTTCAAATCCTCGGTCGAACTTTGAAAGCCTCTATGAGAGAACTCGGCTTGCTTATATTTTTCTTGTTTATTGGTAAGTAATCGCGAGTGCAGTGATATTAGTAGAGTAGAATATTCTATATATTTATAAATAATTTATATTTTTATAATGTATGAATTACATAACTTGTATAAGCTGCTTAATTATCTACTCATCAGGGATAACATTTTTTTCAAAGGTATGGATGAAAAATGGCATTCCCAATGATAAGATAACGATTAAATTAATTTCTCAATTTGAAAATATATTTTTTTAAAAGTACCGCTTAAAAAACACAACCTTTAAAAAAGCTTATACAGGTTATGTTGTAAATAAATTATTTATAGTTTACAATGATAGTAAGATAAATCAACATTTTCTAAAATGAGTACAAAGATTTAGTAAACTACTTGTTTACAATTGCCTCCACGTATTAAATATTTCAGAAGCCACAGAGAACGCAATGGAAAGATATATAAACCAGGAAAAGAGCCTTTACGTTTCTTTCATTTTTAAAAATAATTTTTGAATTAAAAAAAAATAGATCAAATTAGTTTTCTGGTGAACAATATTGTTTATTTCTTCAATATTTTTTTTCAAAAACATTTAAACAAATTCATAATCTTATTATTTTTTTTTATAATCCGTTGATATTTAATTATAGTAATAACATAAAGCTGGTATCATCAAACTATAGGTACAAATAGCTGAACTCTTGAAATTTCAATCGTTTTCATCGATTCATCGTTTCATCGATCGAAGGGCCTTTCGAAGACAGACATATTTGTTAATACAATTAAAAGTAACTCATTAACAATATCCGAAAACGAATTTCCAAACCGGGATTTCATTCAAAAGTTAAAAGATTGTAAAGAAGAAACTGGTTAAAATTTAATCATTTTACGATTTATTACCCCACGATATAAGAAATTGCTAGGTATAGTACAACAGATAAAGCAATCTAATAATTTAAACATACTTTAAAATATATTTTAAGAACAAACACCTATTTCTAAAACATTCGAACACTTCGACTAATACCTTTCCAGTTTGAATGTAACTTATATTGGTTTCAGATGCTTTTGACAAATCATTCAAAAAGCGCTGACAGTGTAAGACATATGGCGACTTTCAAGCTTTTTAATCTATTGCAAATAAATTTACATTACTTGACACATTCAAGGATTGGCACTTAGCCCAACGTGAATCTTTCAGAAGACCAATTGCCACCCACAATGACAAATTAAAACAGTAATGTTCATTCCTGTACGAATTTTATGAAGATATTTTTTTTTATTACAGAGGGTGTCCTGTAAGTAGCGTAATATTTAGCAGACTTCAAGGGCAAAAAAAAGTTAATTATTATTAATACGAAAAAATATATATCATTTGATATCTTATTACATAAACGTACTCGAGTTTTTAGGAAAAAATACTGCAATAAAAATTTATTTTTAGATAACCTGGGATGTTTAAATCCATAAATACATTTAATTATAAAAAAAAAAGGTTAAAAATAATGATTTTTCGATTATTCTTCATTTAAAATGATGAAAGTGTTTTTTTAGGAAGATCTCTATTACAGCAGTTAATCCGTATTTATTAGTTAAGTAATAAATATTCCTAATTCTAATATTTACTTGTAATATAAACACACCTGTTGATTTCTTCACTTATTGTATACCTTATTTAGGTATCGGTTCCTATTCCACAAAAATTATGATTTACTTAAAAAAACACAAAACTTAAATTTCCTACTCGTCTGCCAAAAATTGGATCAATGTTTATATATATATATATATATATATATATATATATATATATATATATATAAAAAATTTGGTTTAAAATTTCGGACACTAAAATGACAAACGCACTTTAACACTTTAATTATTGTGATGGTACAATTAAATTAAATACAACGAAACTAGTAATTACATTGTAATTCCAAATGTTAAAAATTTAGAAAACTTCATTTAATAACTTAATAAATTTATTAAATTAAATTATTAAATTTATAAAATAATTAAGTATTAAACATTATTATTAAATTCTTAAAATTTAATGACTTAATTAATGGTGAACTAGAACTTATTATTTTATTAAAATTGGTACTTCCAAGTACTGAAACAAAACTGATTACGAACGATAGTAATAGAGAGATTATACAATAGTTTTTGGGAGTTGTTTAGTTTTTGCAGACCTCGCTTTTACCGGAATATTCCGTGGTACAGACCTCTTTTTATCAAATTATTATAAAAACGTAAATATAGAATCAAGAACATTAAGTCTATCACTTATTAATACGGATCAATTAATCAATCAACGGAGATCTTGGGAGGCTAACACAGTTCCATAAACAATTTACATGCAAGATATTTGAAAAATCATTATTTTTTATTTATAAAAAAAAGTGTACTTAGCCATATTACGTATAATACATACCAGGTTCACAAAAAAAGAAGAGCTCACAACAAAAAAGAAATTAGAAGCTTTTAATGTTTTTAAAAAATTATTTTCGCTGAAAACACTGGTATTTAAAAAGATAGAATGTATCTTTATGTCATACAATTTTCTTACAAAACTGAACGCGATTCTCAACTTATCCTGTAACAAACTATAAATTAATCCGTCCTTTTGGAGTTGGTTTTAAGCAAGTAGGGTTTTACAATAATTCAAAAATTATTGTGAATAATCAACAGTTTTAAGATCAGAAATTATATAGCGTAGTTAACTCGCTTAAAAGCACCCTTCCTTTAATTGTTTTTCAATAGACAAATTCAATAGGTATTTGAAGAAACTTTTCTATTTTCTATACTGCAATCGGTAATTAACTAAATTAAATAGTTTTTTAGTTATAATTTCAGTTTTAATAAAAAAATGTGGGACTTAAGAAACAATAACGTTAAATTTTCTGCCTGAAATTTCTTCAGGTTTACTGTCACCTCTTTAAAGATTAATCATTAATTATGGAGATCACTTAAATATTTAACTGCTTATACAATATAATTTCAGAGATCTATGAAATTTCTCTAAAGTAATATTACTCGGTATGTTCCATGCAACTTTTAACACCCTCGATCCTTCAACCTTCAATCACTTTCTCAGAAATAAACTATTCCTCATGGAAACTTTCTGACAATTGGCAAAATTGGCGAAATAAATAAATATTATATTTAGGCAATTAAGTTTATTAAAATATATTTCAGATAATCCGTAAATAAGAAAAAAACAGTTTAGCAACAATTAATTTTAGTAATTTTTGCTAAAAACAGAGATACTTTTAGGTGACAAAATATAAAATTGTATAATTTTATATTACACAAAATGAGATAAATCTCAAATCTTTCCCTAATAAACCTCAATTTAATTAATATGGACTTAAGGGTTATTGAACGAGGACATTTTTCTAAAAGTGGGCTATCCGTAGTATGGTTGGAAGATGATAAAAAATAAAAATTAAAAAAAATCGTGAATAATTTATGATTTTTAAAAACACAACATAGCTTAATCGATCAAAAGTCCTCTTTAAATGGTTTAAACGGTAACAAACTCTACTTTTAACTGAAGTAAATTTTCTCTAGTTTACAGAGAAGCAATTAATATATTAAACATTCCTTTAGGTACCGCTTCCTAAATCACAAAAAGTATGAATTACTTTAAAAACACAAAATTTAAATTTCCTACTTGTCTGCCAAAAATTGGAACATATATAATATTGATATATACTTATTCGAAAATTAAATCAATAAACGACTGTATTTTCGGAATTTACATTGTAATTCCAAATGTTAAAAATTTAGAAACCTCCATTTAATAACTTAATAAATTTATTAAATTAAATTATTAAATTTATAAAATAAGTATTATAGGTATGAAATTTTATTATTAAATTCTTAACTATTATTAAATGGTGAACTAGAAATTATTAGTTTTTATTAAAACTGGTACTTTCAAGTACTCAAACAAAACTGATTACGAACGATAGTAATTGAGAGATTATAGAATAGTTTTTGGGAGTTGTTTGGTTTTCGCAGGCCTCACGTTTACCGGGATATTCCGTGGTACAGACCTCTTTTTATCAAATTATTAAAATTCGTCGAAAACTTCTTGAAAGCTTGATCGTAACCTCCAAATTTTGTATTCTCGAATTCTCGAAAATTCTCGAAATAGGATCTTCTCAATCTGGAGATTGGCAAACTTTGTCTATTTAATTAGGTACCAAAATCTCATGAATATCCATTTGCTTTCCCCTTGAATCGTAAGATAATTTAAGGGGAAGAAAGGTGACCTATAAATATATTGGGTCATTTGGCCTATATAGTCTCGATATTTTGACATTGGAAGTCACGCCAAACGGCCCAATATTTTTATAGGCCACCTTTTTTTCGATTTTGTGGTTAAATTATCCTACGAATGAAGTGGAAACCAAGTGGGTATTTATGAGATTTTAGAACCAAATTAAATAGACAAAATTTGGCGGTCTCCAGATTAAAAACGACGCGATTCCGATCAATTTCGTAGATAAAAAATTTGGAAATTACGCTGAGATAAAGATACACATTTTTAGAAGGATGCTAATAATTTGATAAAAAGGAGTCGGTACCCATCGACTAGCAAAGTATGTAGTAACTTCTTTTTCATATGTATTTTATTTATTATTATTGAAATATTAGTGTGGTGTATTTTTGGTATGGATTCTTTTAAAATATATATATATATATATATATATATATATATATATATATATATATATATATATATATATATATATATATATTTTTTAGTAACTAAGCCAGAACATTTATAAATACTCATTACAGAATATTATAATGTAGAACCAAAGACACAGATAAATTAGGTCTCCATTTAAATGCAGTAAATGAAATCCTCTGTTTTTGATAAACCTTCCACTAATTCCGAACAATTCATCAAAACTACAGTACATCAACACAAATATAGTAACACTTTCATTAGAAAACAATAAACCAGACCAAACTGCCCTTACCACACATTTCAAACAAACAAGGCATATATTTAAATTTGATTCACCCAAGATAAC